TGTATGAAATACCGAAAGTGCAGTTTTTAGTATTCGGGGTTGAATTATGTAGAAATGGATCCCTGATCAATGTGTTTGACCTACCTAATCCTAATTGTGAGTGATTTTAGAGATTTGGGAAGGAAATGGGATCCCTAGAACAAAAGTGCTAGTGTGTGAGTGGATAGTGCCGTCATTAGGGTTACCGGGGCACTTTGTGGTGCATTATTTGCCTGCATTAGTGCATTAATAACTATTAAATGTGATAAATATATTAATATTGTAATTACAAATGTGTTAGGTGGAATGAGCGAGACAGTCGGTGTTGAAACAGATACGATAACACCGAAAGGATACACCGATAAAATCGAAGGGCTATAGATTTGTATATTGGAGGTGGGTGTGTATATCTTTATGTATTTTGCAAATGCTATTATAATATGATAGTAAATGATAGAATTTAATAGCATTTTTTCAGGATTATATGCTTTGTGTTTATGTAATTGGATGATGTTTTGTATTGTGTATTATGTATTGTGGAATGTGGCGCACTGTTTCAGACAGGGGTGTTGATGCCTGATCATTGGGCGTGCAGTGATGTGCTAGCACTGTGGTGTTCCCGGGAGGTTCAAAAGACATGGATCCATGTGGGATCGATTACCCGATGAGGGGTAGTATAGATGTGATGTGACTTATGAATTCTTTGAAATTGGATTGATGTTGTTGTTTGATACGTCTATCTACGTCGTATCTACCTACTTCAGTGTATTACTATCTTTTCATTTCATATATAACATGTATATTCACTGAGCGCGTGGTTTAGCTCACACCCCTACAGTTTCTTCTTTCAGGTACTATAGAAGAAAGTGTAGACTAGTCCATTGTCTAGTTGATTGAGTTTTGTACAACGTTAGTGTGATACCACTCAGGTTGAGTGTCAGTATGACAAATTCTGGATTGTGTATTATATTTTGTGAGAGATTATTCTGGCATTTAAATAGTATATATTTATAAATAGACTCAACAAGCATACGTTGTGATGTATGCTATGTGGGTATGAGATTTTGTATTTGTCTATAACCTGAAAACAAATGATTGGTACAAGTGTTTTATATATGGTACAGGTTATGAGATAGTTTTACCATCATGTTTAATAACTAAGATGATGAGTGGTGTTGTTGTGTCTGTGAGATTATATCATGTTTGATTAGTCTAGCTTACAATAATTGTAAACAGGTGTATTAAAAATCTAATCACATCTCATCCTTGGGAGACTGGGATGGGGCGTGACAATATTAGTCGTCTGATTAATTTTAAAATAATATTTAAAAAGATCTCAACCGTGAAAAATAAAAGTCATTTTGTTTATCTGTTGAAATTTGAATTGCATTGTACTTTATTATATAGTAGTTACTGCCCATGCCTGGAGGCACAAAATAATAAAAAAATAATAAATAATAAATATATTTATATTTACACTTAAAATTAAATCACAAATATAGAGGAGATTGAAAAAAATTTAAGCAACGATTGTAGTGAGTATGAGTGATTGTAGTGGTGGTAGGCGGTAATAGTGGTGGTGGGAGACGGTAATGGTTATGGTGGGTGGCTACGACCGTGGTGATGGTGACAGCCATGGATAGCAAAAGTGATGGTGGTGGTGAATTTTAAGTGATGATGATGGTAGTAATAGACATGAGTAACGATGGTAGTGATAGTGATTGTGGGTGGTAATGGGCAACGGTGATGGTGGGTAACAGTGATAATGGTGAGGTGACGACAATAATGGTGGCGATGGTTGGTTGTGATGGGAAGTGGTGACAATAGTGGTGGTGAACGACGATGAATGTTTTTAGGTGACAGTATGATAGGTGGTGGCGAATGGTGAACGACAGTGGTGATGGTAGGTGTGGTGGGGGTGATGGTGGTGAAACGGTTCTAAAACTTTTTTTTTTTAAAGTACTAAGAAGAATTTATAAGTTCTAGAAACACTTTTAAAAAGTTAACTCAAACACACCCTTAAAGACCTATTTTTCCTATTAAATTTAGGGTATTAATATTAGTCATCGGATTAACTTTAGAGTAAAATTTAAAAAGATTTCAACTCGAAAAAGTAAAAACTATTTTGTTTATTTTTTGAAATTTGAATTGTATTATACTTTATTTTAAGAGTTAATTTTTCAATAGTTTTATAATCCACATTCAATAAAAAAAATTTCTTTTCAAAAATATGTAAGAAATTCATTTGATCTAACCCTCCCATACACCGATTGTTTTGCTAAAATAACTTCTATTGTAAAAAATATTCTTAATCTAACATTTTTTACCAAATAATTTTGATAATAATTTTTTTATTAGTTAAAAAAAATTAAGTGTAAATTACATATGAGAAAAATAAGACTTAACTAGATAGGTTGAGGTGTAGAGGGTGTCCAAAAATACCAGGCCGTCAATGTAGGCATTCATACATGTTTTTAATGAAGCCTAATTCTCAAACTCTCAAGGATTGACTTTGAAGACTCCAATATTCCACATTTCCAAGTCATCATTGAGCAATTTTTAATGCGAAAGAAGCTGCTGATATATGAGTTGTTGTTCAAGATTGGAATGGTCAATTTTGTGGTGGGTTTTAGTCGATGCATTCATGGTATTACTAATGCTTTACATGCTGAAGCTTGGGTGACATTCATAGGTACTAAGTTTGCAATTGATCTGGGTTGTCAAAGTATGATTTTAAAATGAGATTCAAAAGTAATTATTGAGGCGATCAAATTGAGTTATACCAGTTGTTCTGAAATTAGATATTTTATTGATCAAATTAAAAGTTTCGCAGATTGTATAAGTTAATTTAATGCCCCGGGAGTATGAAGATCTGAGAATAGTGCAGTGCATACGTTAGCCAAATATGCTATTTCATTTTCTCAATGTATTGAATGGAGAGATGAAGTACCAAATTTTTTGGTACCTATCCTTCAAGATGATATTTCTATTCCTTAATCAATGAAAGAATTTTTGTTTTGCCTCAAAAAAGAAAAGTTTCACTCGACTATCCTATTAATATTCACATTTGACAGAAACATCAAATTTTAATCTCTTCTATTGTTCCCCTTTAAAAATGTATTTTTTTTAAATAAAATTCACAGTTTACTGATCAATAGATTTAATATTTGATAAAATCTACATTTGTCGATTAAATTCAATTTTTTTTGAATAAAAAAATTGCATATTTACTGGCGAAATAATAGATTGTTCTAATAAAATTCATATTTATTGCATTAATTAACACCCAATTTTCGACTTTTAAGCACATTTAGTAGCTCCCACCATCTTTTTAAGGAATGGACTGAGGTGCTCTTGACCAAGTGAATATCACTTATTCTAGTGTTTATCAATGGTCTTATATAATCAGTTTATGTACCAATGAAGATGTTCTCAATCCCACAAATTCATTTTGTAGGCTAAATTTAGGATCAGAATGTCCAATGAAACGAAAAAGAATGTGAAGAAATCTAAGCAGAAGATGGATGCCTGATGGATTAATATATTCTCTATTATTTTTTCATACAATTTTACTCAATGACAGATCACCCACTATGAACTCATGTGAAACCCATTATTTATATGTGAATCTTTCATCCATACACGACTGATGATCTAAGTGAAATTAAGTGGAAGTATAATGAACAAAATCTGGACTCCATGCACAATGCCTTCATACACGGCTGATGATCCATCATTGAGTGAAATTGTAATGGAGAGAATCTAGACTCCATGTGTGGTGCCTCCATATGCGGCTGATGATTTACTATTGAGTGAAATTAAGTGAAAGTGTAATGAAGAGGATCTAGACTCTGTGCGAAGTGCCAAATTGATGCATGCTCCACTATCATGCCTTATTGGGCCACTATTAATAGCCCAAAGGCGTTTGGCTCAGCAATTTCATAATGAAGAAGAACACACGTGTATGAAAGAAAATGACATTAAAGGTGATATGTATAATTTTGGTCCTATTCAATGAATTCATGTATTCAAAAGAAATGTCCCGCTTCATTGTATGATAAACTAAGATTTAGGCAACCAATATTTACCTCACAAGTTTTGTTATTTTGTACTTGAATCAAAGATTTCAAACACATAAAAGTAAGAAGACGACTGAAAGATCGCCTCTATTAAGCAAGTTCAAAGAATGGCTCGAGTGAAAACTAGAGTGACGTGAGATAGATTGAAAGCAAACGGAAGAGAGGTTTAAAACTCTGCCCTTCCTAACCTTCTGAGAGCCTTTTTTGATTGATATTCTTGTCTTTTCTAAACTTTCGTGAGTTTTCTTGATTGACATTTCAACTGGGCTTGACTAAAAGGGGTTGCCCAGTTCTGATCCTTAATTTTAAAATAAAATCAAGGAAAATTATTGCAAGAAAACAAAAAGAGAAAAAAAAATAAAAAAAATTGAAAGTAGGCCAAGCCCTATTCCAATATCCACAAAACAATCAAGTTTCAGTGTAAAGTCCAGTCCAGTGGACCCATTTACTTAATAAGCCCACAAAAACTCCAATACATGAAGAAGTGGTAACCAAAACTTATGCTTAGAGTGGCTGACACTCCTTACACGACCCATTCATAAGAGAACTTGTGAGTTGTGAGGACTAACGACTTGGTGACTCTTGCGTGTCGTCGTCTCTCTGCTTCCCAAACCTCTCGAGGCGGCTAAACCAAACTCTGTCTCAAATTTCTCTCTCTCTCTCTCCCCTCCAATCTCTATTCTTCCATGAGCTTCAATTTTCAGAGCTTGTTTCTAGAAATAACTATAAATATGTAGATGTGAGTCGTAGTATATTTACAACACACCTGGGTGTCACCGACATATTCCAATCTCCAGGTGCACTCAAACTCGATCTTTTTTCGATTTTCCGAAGGTGGGTCGATCTGAATTTGAGTTTAAATTCGTATATTTGATCTAGATTTCTTGTTAGATTGGTGGGTTTTCGTTGAATATTTGACTTTTTTCTCTGGGTTCAATCCAAATGGTCTGTTTCCATAGCTCCATTTCCGTTGACCAACACATAGACATGGCCAAATCTGTGAATTCAACCGACCCGTGTATCAAATTGAGGCAGATTAATCAAGTACACAGGAATAGAAAGACACCCAATTCGCCAAACCAATTTGATATTCCGTCTTGCGGACAATCTCGATGGGCTGTGATCGATGTGATAATCTTGATTGCTGTAATTGGGGCTTTTGGGTTTCTATTATATCCATATGTGAAGCCTTTATCGTTTGGTATCGTGGAAATTGGCGGAGAAATTGTTTATGTGGTAAAAGATGAGATTTTCCAGGCTCCAATGGTTTATGGGTGTTTAGGACTCAGCATTTTCTGTGCTGTGGTTGCTGTTATAGCAATCACAGTGTGTACTGGTAGCAAATGTGGGAAACCGGGTTGTCGGGGACTTCGAAAGGGGGCTGAATTCGATATACAATTGGAGACAGCGGAATGTGTGAAGAGTAATCCAAACAGTGTGGCAAATGATGCTGTAAAGAAGGGATTATTTGAATTGCCTCGCGATCACCATCGAGAATTAGAAGCTGAGCTTAAGAAGATGGCACCACCTAATGGAAGAGCTGTTCTTGTGTTTCGAGCAAGGTGTGGGTGTTCTGTTGGCAGAATGGAAGTTCCAGGTCCAAAGAAGCTTCGAAAAGTTAAGAAGTAAAGTTAGTATGATTGTGGATTTTATAGGGAGTATAATCACTACAGGTATAAGCATAATGAAAAGAGGATATCCTTTTTCTGGTTGATCCTCTGTGTACTATATAGTTCTTGAATAAGCGCATGCCAATAAACTGTAAGGATCATATACACTTGCTTATAGTGGGAGTTTCAGATTCCTTCTTTCATTGACTATAGTATATTATTGTTATATTTGTTCCTTTGAATTGCTGATTAAATATTTAGTAGTCATCTTCTTGTTTACAGAGACAGTTTCTTTACTTTTGGGATAAGATTGCTCTTTAGATTTTGAATTTCCAAGAAGTTAGTTTATAGATAGGTTCCAATCCTTTTCCTATGTTATTCTCAAACAATTTAATTCAAACTGAAACCTGAACTATTAGCTATGCGCATAAGTTATTCAACTTTATGAGAACTGAAACTCGTATCTTCTACTCCTATCGTAAGGAATAATGATTGTTTTCTGCTTTTCAATCTTGAGCTGTGGTCTTCATCAACCACGGAGGTTTGAGATACTGATTTATCACGAGGAATTATTCTTAAGGTCAAGTAATGAAGTATGGAGTTTGTATATGTATTATAACAATCTACTTCGGAGGAGTAAAACAGCTTGCTTTGGTTGGATCTTAATATTACCCTTTACCCACAATGCTTTGTTGCTGGAATGTTATGGCTGACAGTTGAATTTGTAAGCTGGTATAAAACTTCATGATATTCTCTTCTCCTTGCATAGTGAGGATAGGTGGATCATCCAAATGTCAAGATTTCTGTTTTTTAGGTGCCTCAGGCTTCCACTAAATTGCTTTTGGAAAGTTTGAGAAGATTAGCTGTGTCGTATCCTTAAGCGGATAGCAAATTAGGATTGCAGATCTCTTAGAGGAGCTCGCTGCCATATTATCTTGTGAACACTTTGTAGTTCTCAAATCTTGAGTTTCAATCTAAATGTGCTTGTGGTATTGAAACTAGTTCATCTTTTTGTGCATGTGTTCACTTTTACGGAGTAGTGCTCACTATTCAATAACTCAGTTTTGCTTTTCTTTCCTTTGTAAATGAAAAATAACCAAGACTATTATATTAGGAGTGATTAGGTTGTGACGACTTACAAGATTTCAAACACCCCCCACATTTGTGTTCACGATATTATTCTGGATGAAAGCATGAATAAGATTGGACTTTACTAAGATGTTCTGTTATGACTTAGGCATGTATACCTTATGTTTTAAGTGTAGTTAAGGTTGGGTTTGATGCAGGTTACCAGGTTTGGAAATTTAGGAAACATTTCTTGTCAAAACTATTACAATTTTTTGTTTGTTTGTTTGTTTGTTTATTTTGGGTTCTAGTGACAAATTGTCCGTGGGTGAGAACTGAGAAACAAACTTGAGAAAGTTATAGGGCATTACGCTATAAATAGCTTTCGTTAGCCATGAATAAACTGTGCGCGCTTCATTCATCTCATACTCTGCTATGTGGAAAAACCATGTATTATATTGTCGTGCTGGTAAATTTGTATGCTACAAATTTGAAAATGTAATATTGGATTCATGAGCTTTTGGACAACCAAAGGAACAAACACCATCGCCTAGTGTTCTACTAGCATTTGGGATGACTTCATTGTTTTAATTTTGCCATTTCGATTCGAGTCTGTTTTGTGGGTTGTGCCTGGAATTTTATTTCTTTTTTGGTTCAGTGCTAAGAAAAACTCGATACGGGAGCTCCAAAGATATGCAGACTCAGATTCATTTATTCATGACTTGGATGATTAATCTCAATTTGTAATTTGAATTCTCATGTTAGTTTGAAAATGTCAAGCTCCTTTTGGCTTAGGAGCATTGAGCATGGCATCTTCATTGATAGTGGTTCTCAAACCTCTTTGCTTTCTGTTGGTCATTAATTGGCATTGCAACCCCTATGTAAGCTAATAATTGTGCTTGATGCCCGATGATAGCTTTCTATCAGTGAATATGTAACAGCAACTTGGGGAAAACTCTACGGTACCGAATTTGTTTTTTGGTATTGGTACCGTCAATTACTATTTGGTATGGTGAAGTTATAACTTTGAAAAAAGAAATTATAATTGTTTAAGGGAGGTTATGATGGATCACATAGACTAACGATCAATCATGAAAAACGTAGTGTCAATCTCAACATTTCATAATCGATCATTCCTATTAAAGTTGTAACTTATACATAAAAAAAGTTAGTAATTTTCAATACTAGTGTGGTCGGTGTTATTTTAGAAGTTCCCACAACTTGGCCTTCTGTCCACTTCAGTTATGAACATGACAAGAATCATAGCTGCCTGTGGCTGTATGTCATCCAAGCAATTGGAGCAACAGGTTTGAGTTATGATATTGGTGGGACACTCGGTACCGTTCTTCTTCTGGTCTTGATTGATTCTGTGAAGGTCATTCACGTACCCAACTAAAAATTACAAGAACCATGAGAGATTCCCTCAGCTCTTTCCTATTGTTTAGCTCCGCAAATCTCACTAACGATTAATCATGTTGAATTTGTATTGTGTTTACGGATAAAGTTATGCAAATCATAGTCAACAACTAATTTTATGTTGAGGTTAAATTGTGTCATATATTAATCGTGTTTAAAAATTTTAAATCGTATTTAATTAAATTTGTGTTGACCTATTTAACCTTTATATGCATACTTGCATGGGAAAATCTTGCAATTGTTGAGATAGCTGATTAACTGTGAAACTTGAATGATTGGCTCCTACAACAACGTATGGAGTCAGGAAGGGGGTCGATAACGTGTCCGATTTTTCTCCTCTAATGCCTAAGTCAATAAGAGTTCAAATGAAATAAAAGTTATGATAAGACTTTTACTCTTCTAAATTGTTTACGAAAACATACTTGAGATCCCATTCAATGGAATATTTATACCTTCAAATAGGATGATGTAGTGGTATAGATGTCCCATCAAGCCGATTGAGGGGAGCTTCATAGACACACTTATCAATGAGCTTATATTTTTTTGAGCCGTGTAATTACTAGGCTTATGGAAAGTCTGTATTAATTCGAGACCTAATATTGTAATAATTAGCTATCTCGGGGGTGTCGAACACCCAATGCACATCCTCTCGACATTTAATGATCTTTGCAAGTTATTTATTAAGCTATTGGTTGCAATCATTAAATACATTATCTCTGAGAGCACGATGCCAGTCAGACCATCCTTTTATTTGAATCTTATGGAATAATCTTGATACGATCTATTAGTGTGAATAATAATTTATCTAATACTAGTTGGTGTACACGTGCTTTGCACGTGGACAATTTCATTAGAATATTTTTTTTAGCGCCAATATTAGAAAAAGTATCCCCAATAATATAAATAGCCGAAGTAAGCTCAATAAGATTATGATTTTATTTACCCCAAAAAATATTGAGATATTAATTTCTTTTTTTGGGGGGTGAGGATTCAAAAGCTGGAAAAGTTTTAATCTTTATTTGCTTGACTTAAAATAAATAATATTTTTCAAAGGTACACAAACTAATAACTGTTAGTTTTTTCGGTGTTTAATATAAAGTTCATGACACAGCTTTTGACATAATAATCCATTGAAAGTATCAGATAAATTATTGTGATTATTGTAATTCTATTACCTTAATTTGACTTACATTAAGTGAAAATAGTGGGATTACACTCAATAAAATAGTGTCTATTGATCATTCGTTTGTAAAATCTAATTACATTTGACATTGTAAATATACACCTAATAAAGAGATAGACTATCTAATTCGCAGTTATGTCAGATACAAGACATGCTCACTTGAAAAGAGGATCACATAATCTTACTTGTACTCTTTGTTCAATGTTTTTACAGCTTTTTCTTGAAATATTTTTTTCAAGATACAGAAGAGTGGAAAAAAAATAAGGAAGAGTTGAAGTTAAAATTAATTGTCCAATTAACATTCAATCAAATAGCCAAAAAAACTAAACAAGTTCTTATAGCATTATGTTTGTGCACATAAATTTATGATCAAGATTATCAGCATACAAAGGCAAACCCACAAGCTCCTTTTATTTTTTGAGAGAATTGCAAGCCCCCACAGATATAAATAGTGGCCAAAGTGATTACCTACTAATCAATCTTAGCGATATAGAGGAGGCACTTTCATGTCAAACAAATACATCAAGTAAGGAAATTTTTTACAACAATCCTTGAAACCTAGTAGAAAAGACAAAAAGTTTTCAAAGTTTTTTTATAGTTACCATAAACTCTTAGTTTTTTCATGACCATAAAACCAAAACATCAAGTCAGGATTTAATTTTCTAGATTTCTTGTAGTAACACACAACTTTTGGCCAATAAACATTAAAATCTCAAATAAATTTATGTGGTTAGAATTAGAAGAATAAATGTTGGCGAGTCCATTATATGGGAAAACAAAAAGGTCAGAGAAAATGTGATAGTACTGTTTTGTTATTACTCATAATGGTATGAACATCATTAGAGTTTAAATCAATAATTAAAGTTGAAATGAATACATGAAAATATTAAGTTTATGCACATAATTAATCTAAGGAGATGAAAGAATAGGAGATGAGTATGTAATTAATTTGAGAAGATGAAAGAAAATTGTTCAAGGAAATTTTATGTTTTATGAAAAGTATTATAGTTAATCAAAAGTTTTTCATTTTTATTGACATTTTATAATAGTATAGATAGATAGGTATACATTAAACATAAATGACTATCAAACATGTTTTATATTTATATTTTTTATTTTTTAAAAATAAAAAATAAAAACGTTACCGAACGCAACATAAATTTTTCATGCTGACCGGAAGGTAATAGGCATTGACATCACATACGATGTTAAAATTTTAAATTTGATTAATAATTTCAGGCAAACAGAAATCGTAAAAATTGATTAACAAAGTTTCAAATTTCAACAATGAAACAAAATTTTGACCTAATATTGAAAGACGAATAATTTGACTTTTTATTTGAAACCATTTCACA